TCTCTTATTTAATTCTGTTAATTGCCCTATGGCTATGAGCAGATTTGCGCTGAATCCGTGCGTTGGTTGCAGACACAGACACGGTGACACCACGGATCAACCTTAAAAGACACAAACAAGAAAATGAAACATGATGGCATAATCTCATAATCACTAGTCATAGTCATAGTCATACTACTAACGTAACAAATACCAGCACATATCATCAACCCACTTGCAATGGGACAGTCTCAACAGAAATCGACGATTTCATATGCTCTGTGCCAGCGCCATTTCCAGTGCTCTCGTTCTCTCCCCACAGCCCATGATCCCTCAGAGCTTGATACCCTCCTCTCAGACTATCGGCCTCGATGCCCTTAGCTCGCAGAACGCTGGTGGCTACGCGGGCCGTATCACCATGATAGCAAATGACCAAGACGTGCTGGCCACGGAGCTTGCTCAGAGCCTCCTCGGCCTTGAAAAGGGTCTCGAGTTCTAGCCATTGGGCTTCCAGCGCGCTGGGGTCCGCGAATGGCTTTGGAGTGTGCGAGTCCAGGCTGCGAAGGGGGATGTTGACTGAGCCAGGCAGATGCCAGGTGGAGTAATCTGCTGCCGTTCTCAGGTCGAGAACGCAGCAAAGGGGTCTGAGCTCGATGGTGCGCAGAAGACTGTCCGAGAGCGAGCGGGGAGTCTCGTAGAAATGCGTGAAGAGGACGATGGGGCTGCGTTCCCAGCTCTCGTCGTAGCGGTAGATGTCGACTCCGTTGAGATTCTGCGACGCTTAGTCGGTGATTCGGTGGTGTCAATCAGAAGATACGGCACTTACCTCGTTCTTGATGGGATGGAATTTCTCCGCCCCCAGTTTGGAAAAGTATTCGCCGATGTACTGGTAGGGCAGGTCGCAGCAGATAAACACACAATGGACCAAGCCGTCCGGCCCAGCTAGCTCAGCCAGCGTCCCGGCCTGCTTGCGTTTCTCCAGCATCTGAAATAACCCCTGTAGATTGAACCCCGACGACGGGCCACAGACGATCCCCTCCCGGCACAGGTCCAGCGACAACGAGAAGGAATCGTACGAATTGACTTCCTCGATAGCATCGACCGCCTCTTTCCAAGGAAACTCGACCGGCTTCAGAAGCGCCAACGACCGTGGTCCCGGCACGCGGTCCCCAGCCGCCGTGCACACACCCAGTCGCAGGACCGACGGCTTGTTCTCCTTGAAAAACGTCCCTAGCCCGGTCATGGTGCCCGACGTGCCCATCCCGGCGCAGAGCACATTGATCTCCGGGAGCTGTCTGAGGATCTGCGGGCCCGTCCAGCGCACATGCGAGCCCCAGTTATCATGGTTCTCGTACTGGTTGGGGTTGAGGATCTCGTCGGACTCCAGAGCCATCTTGCGGGCACTCTGGATCCCACCGCGGTCGTCAAACGGTTCTGGCTGGCTCGGTCCGCCGAACAGGGTGATATCCAGGCCGAAAAACTGCATGAGTTTCAACTTGGCCTCGCTGGTCTTGTTGCTGAGGAAGGCCCGCGTGTCGTGGATGCCGTGCATGACGCGCGCGATCATCGACATGGAGATCACCGTTGACCCGGAACTATACTCGATGATGGTCTTGGTTTTGCCCGGGACGACTTTCTTCTGGAGCATGTTTAATGCTGCGGTTTCGTTAGTCGGTAGCTATTACGGTTCTGATGTACACTTACCAGGCATTGCCTTGACGTTGTTGGCAGGATGCATCGACATCATTTTGGCGTAGATGCGCACCCCATCCTGATGGTAGGGATTCAGGTACTCAGGAACCTCCACCAGGGGTAGAGGAGGCTGACAATCGGGGTCAAAGTACTTCTTGAGGGCATCAGGGCCCCGGTAGACGTTCAGCTCGTTTGCAGCCATCTTATGGTACTGACAACGAATATAAACGCTAGCAGAGCAGAAGACGTAGATGCAGACGCAGAGACCCCAACTTTATACCGCAGACTTCTTCTGCAGCGAGAAAATGCAATGTTCCCGACAGTAGAATGACCCACCAGCCGTGGATGCACCTGCGGCCAGAAGGAGCAGGTCCATCTGAGCATATTCTGCTCTGAATGAGCTATTTCCTGAAACGCGAGGCTGATCTCTGCAGGCTAGACTACCTTGGAGGCTGATGTTCGCCTACAATTACCGTGACGGACCCTGAGAAGGAGTACCTGGAGGCCGTAGATGCAAGATCGACAGATTCTATTACACTACTCAATGTCAATTCCATGATTCTTAGCGTAGAGCAGGCAACAGACCCGTCTAGGAGTGTTGGCACCTCCAAGGTCCTGAGGAATTCGTATAGCGATCCCCTCCATAGACACAAAGGATTATCCTGCAGCTGATTATCCTACCTACTATCAAATAGAGTAATTAATTAAAATCATGCACGGGGACCTTGGTGAGTGTTTTTGCGCACATTTTCCCTTTTAGTGCGAGATGGCGTCTGGATGCTGCAGATCGACCCGCCCTCATTATTATCAATCACAGCTGTTGCATTTTCTCACGAAACGAAATGACTCACGGGTACTCGGAGAATAATCAGGGTCTCTAGCACGCAATGCACGAGCCTGATCATTGTCGCCCTCGTGGCATTCCAACTTTAAAACGCAATTCTCATTCCCGCTGTAGACATCAAGATCAGCGTCCTGGTTGATTGGAGACGTAGCAGACCAAAATGCCAGACACACTGATCAGTCAACAACAGGAATCAATCCCCCCGAGCTCCTCTGGAACAGTTGTAGAGGTGACAGAAGGCGCAGAGACCAAGGCAACAGGGCAACATGTCTTCAACGAGCAGACAAACTATGTCCCCAGGAGTACCATCATCACAGTGAGTTATCGTCACTCACAATCTGAGCCAGAAAACTGAGACAAGCAGATCTTCCTCGCATGCTCGACGGTCGACCTCGTCGCCTTGATGGACCAGACGACCCTCGCGGCCAGTTTGTCCATCGTCGGCAACGCCCTGAACGCCAGCGACCAGACGTCCTGGATCTCCGGCGCCTATTTCGTGTACGTTGACTCCTTCTTTCATATAAGTCCTGCGTCCCGCTAATGACCGCAGTACATCCACCTGCTTCCAACTGCTCTATGGCCGCCTCTCCGACATCTGGTCCCGCAAATACGTCCTCTTCACCGGCCTCGCCATCTTCTTCTTCGGCTCGCTGGCCGCCTCCCTCGCGCAAACAGCCACCCAGCTCATCATCTTCCGCGCCTTCACCGGCATCGGCGGCGGCGGCCTCATGACCGTCGCCCAGATGATCGTCAGCGACGTGGTCCCACTGCGCGAGAGAGGTAAGTACCAGGGTATTCTCGGCGCGGTGGTCGCGCTGGCGAACGGCATCGGCCCCGTGATCGGAGGCGCGCTCGCGTCCGCATCGATCGAGAACGATTCCTGGCGGTGGATCTTCCGACTGAACCTCCCGCTCACGGTGCTCACGACGCTGTGCGTGTTCTTCTTCATGCCCCTGCGCAAGGTCTCGGGCGCGTGGAAGGTGAAGCTTGCGGCGGTGGATTTCGTCGGCGCGGCGCTGGCCCTCGGCGGAACGGCCGTGCTGCTGCTGGGCCTGAACTGGGGCGGAGGCGAGTATGCCTGGGCCTCGGCGCATGTGGTTGCTACCCTCGTGGTGGGTGTTGGTGTTTGCGTGGCGTTTGTGCTCTGGCAGTGGAAGGGGGCCGCGTTCCCGCTCGTCCCGATGCATATCTTCCGCTCGCGGATCGTCAACGGCGCGTGTCTGACCATGTTTGTCAATGGGTGGAATTTCCTCGTCCAGGTGTACTATATCCCGACCTTCTACCAGCTGGTCTTTGGGTATTCGACCGTCAAGGCTGGCGCCATGTTGCTGCCCATCACCCTGATGCAGAGTACGTCCTGTCCTCTCCTCTCCTTGCACAGATACACGGCTGATAAATGCTAGCGGCCAGTAGTACCGCCTCTGGGCTCGTCGTCCACTGGATAGGCCGGTACAGGGAATGCATCCTCTTCGGCTGGATGATCTGGGCCGTCGGACTAGGTCTCTTCTCGACGCTGGACCAGTCCTCCGGTCTGGGGAAGCAGATCGGCTATGGGATATTGACTGGTGTGGGTGTGGGCAACACCCTGCAGCCGTACGCTCACCCCTGCACCCCATTCTCACTGCCTCACTAATGACCATGACAGAGCCCTCATCGCAATCCAAGCCGGCGTCGAACGCCGCGACATGGCCGTCGTAACCTCGTTCCGAAAGTATCTCCTCCCTTTCAACTATAGCCAAGAAATCAACACTGACTCTGCACAGCTTCGTCAGGAACCTAGGCGGCACACTCGGCCTGGCCGTCGCCGGAACAATCATGTAAGATGCCATGCCATCCACATCCACATCCACCAACCCACGCAACCACCACTAACATATGCCAGAAACAACCTCCTCTCCTCCTCGATCTCCAGTCTCGGATTCACGGCTTCAGAAACAAGATCCTTTCTGTCCAGTCCGCAGAATTATCTCTCAGGTCTGTCGGCGGATGAAGCGGAGCGCGTGCGTGCCCTGGTCGTACCGGCGTATAAGCGGGGCTTCAGGATCATTTTCGTGGTCGGGGGCGCATTGGCGGCATTTGCGTTCTGTTTGGCGTTTGTGCTGATGCCGCAGGTCGAGTTGAATAGGGCCGACGATGCGAAATTGAAGGAGGAGGCGAAGAAGAGGGTCGACGAGAAGAACGCTTGCTAGATGTCTGTCTCGGTTGACTGTACTGTGGTTTTAGAGTTGAGAGTGGTAAACTAGAAAAATCAAGCTCATCCATTATTAATTCAGTCAGGAGAAAAAAGGTATCCAGGTAAGAGTAGTAAGCGGCTGTCGTGTCCTCGTCACGTCGTCAAATCCAAAACAATCTGGCCCAACCTCCTTTTGTGTACCCTTGCCCCATGCCCATGACCATGCCCATGCCCATGCCCATGCCCCAGGTTGAACGAAACAATCAACGCCCATCAGATGTATAGCAGGCAGATGCAACAAGGCAGAAGAAATCATATCTCATCAATAACGACCACTTGCTCCACCACCCAGTCCACCAAAGCCTGTCCTTCCAGCTTCCACTGCCCGTCATGCCACACTTCGTTGACCCAGTATCCCCAGCCCTTGCCCTGATGCAACGGGAGCCCCCAGGATTTCCGGTAGGTGTCTGCAGAGAAATCGTTGTTGACTTGGAGAGCCCCAACCGCAACCCCAGCGGCCGAGGCGCCCTGCCGCACGCGCCACTCACGTTCCGCTCGCTCGCCTGCTCGGCGTGCTACAGCCTCCTCGTCTTCCGCCTGGTACAGATCGCATTTGTTGCATTCCGTACATCTTGATCCCGGATTGATGCGGAAGTGCTCGCAGAAATGCTTGTAGCCCTCCTCCGCATCTTCTCCATCAGGGCCATTTCGGTCATTGTCGTTAGGATCTTGCCCAGCCGGTGCAATGTTCTCCTGGTTGAAGATGCCAGCTACAAGGCGAGGAACTCGACCTTGTCCCGCTGCCGGAAGAGACGACCCCAGCGCTTTGCGGCAGAGATAACACATGGAATACCCGCAGACGCAGGTCAATTTGTTGCAGCCTGACGACTTGACAAAGGATAAGCCGCACCGAGGACATGTGCGCTTCACCGCAGCTGTGCGCGCGGCCTCAACAGTGGCCCGAAGGTCGAGCAACAGGGGCTCATGACAGATGTGAGGATCACGCCACGGTTTCTGGCAGGTGATGCAACTGACGCGACGGCAAAGAGGATTGGCACATGTGAATCTCTTCGGTCGGACCTTGAGGCACAGATTGAGAAGCGAATTCTTGAGGATAGTCGGCACAGCCATAGGATCCAGTACATATAGAACTATCAGCGGAATGGCGAGCAAAGGTACCATATCGAGAAGTATGACAGTCATCAAGATCGTAGACAAGAGCCCATCACGGCGAAAGTGCCAAGCAATCCCCATGGAAGAAGGGTGGTAAACAGGATCAACCTCGGCGTAAGAGCAGAACGGACAGCGGACAAGTTTCAACTGCGACTTCATCAGAGACTCTGAAGCCAGCCGAGTCTCGAATTTGCAGTAGGTCTCGAGACCAGCCTTCTCCATGATTATAGCTCGCTTGACGGTCTCAGGATCCAAGCTTCCCTCGCAGCTACCGTGGGCAATCGGCGCGATACACTTCAAAGTCGATCTCTCCACGTCCACCGACTTCCCCCATCCTTGCCCAAATAGAGCCTCGTGGATAGTCCTCTGTATGCAACTGTAACAAATGATGTGGGAGTCGACCGAGCAAGTGGAGATTTGTTCAAAAGTCACATCGGCCAGACAGCACTCGCACTCATACAGCGCCTCAACAGCCTGTGCTTCGCGCTCATTGAGCTCCTCGGCCAGCTTGAAGTCTTTGTCCTCCTGTTCCTCTCGCCTCACACGCAGCAAAGGCGCAAGCAGAGCCTCATATAACTCCCTATCCAGCTCGACGCATCCCGTCTCCTTCAGCCTAGGCACCAGTTCCCCATCCGCACGCCGCTGCCATACCACCAGAGGATGCTCGTCCTTGTCCTTCTTGCGTTTGAACGAAGGCAAAATATTATTGAGCGTCGCCCGCCACGTCCGCCTCGACAGCTCCTTCAGCGTCGGCCGCGCCCGCATGTAGCAAAAGTTCGCCTCGGCCAGCACCGCCTCCACCGTACTCCTGCTCAGCCCGCTGAACTCCTTCGCCAGCACACCCTTCACAGAAGCCTTGTACTCGTCGCTCCGGAATCGTTCCTCGGGCGGCACCACATGCTCATCATGCTCTCGCGAAACATCACCATCACCCGCTTCGCCTCCGGTCCCTGTCGGGACGTTCCACCGCCCAGCCACCCATTCATTCTTATGCCGGAGCAGCTGCTCCACGCACACCTGTAGCCTGCTCTGCCCGTCAAACCGCACGAGCAGTTCGCGGAAGACCTCGATCTTCACGTCTGGGAAGATCCGGGCTAGGGTCTCCAGCGCATTGTTGAGCTCTTCCTGCTCCTGTTTCGCGTTCTCGGCCTGGGTGTTCGACGTCAAGGCTGTGATGGCACGCGATCGAGAGGTATTCCCGAACGGGTTGTTTCGGAGGGCTTCAGTAAGGGTCGTGGATTGGTTGTTGCTATTGCTGCTGCTGTTGCTGGACCGGAGCGCGGGGGAGGCCGTGGTGAATCTGGAGAAGCTTGGGACAGGTAGCGAGAGCACCATCGTGGCAACGACGGAAACTCCGCTACATGTTCGTTGTGCGGATCAGACTCAATTCGAATTCAACTCAACTGTCTAGCGGTGATAAGGCCTGTGGCATCCGTGTTTGATGGTTGATTGCTGGTTGCGGGGAGTGAGTTGTGTCAGGTTGAGGTGTGGTCGTTGGTGCCGATGGAGCAGGTTACATAACCATGAAATCGAGGCGTTAGGCGTTAGGCGTTAGGCGTCCTGTTATCGCCAACAACTCAGCAGACAACAAATCACTCACAAGAGACTACGCAAATATCAATTGACTCATAGGGTCTGATTGAACAGCATAATATACTTGCAATATTCAAAAGTATTGTACGATAGCTTACAAATTTGAATTAGCAGACAGTGAACAAGACACCAATGCATTGCTTCTGTTGGCAGAAAATCATGATTTATATACAAAAGCTGATAGACCATATTAACCCAGTATGCTTTTATCTTACAATTTGGCCTTGGCCCCCTCCAACAACTCGGCACCAGCGCCCAGGATGGCGGGCTTGCCGGTCTCCACAACAGTGGTCTGGAAGATGACTGTGTTTCCTTCCTTCCACATCTCCGTCTTCAGGGTCTGACCGGGCAGCACGACACCGGCGAAGCGAACCTTCAGGCTCTTGAACGCACCGAACTTGTTGAAGACGTGCTTGCCAGAGATACCCAGCGAGCACAGTCCGTGCAGGATGGGAGTCTTGAAGCCACCGACCTTGCTGAACTCGGGATCAATGTGCAGAGGGTTGCGGTCACCGTTGAGACGGTACAGAGCAGCCTGGTCCTCAGAGGTCTTCTCCTCGATCACAACATCAGGCTGGCGCTTGGGAGGGTTGTAAGCAGCCGTGGCACCCTTGGGGCGGGGAGCAGTGGGCTTGGGGGAACCACCGAAACCGCCGCTGCCACGGATAAAGACGGTAGACTCGTTGTAGAACAGGTCCTCTCCGGTCTTGGCATCCTTGGTGGTGTATCCAGCAACAACAAGAGCGGCCTTACCCTTGTCGACCACCTCAATGAGCTTGGGGTATGTCAAGGTCTTGGCCTCGGTAGGGATGGGGAACTTGCGAACTTCCATGTACTGCTCACCGTGCAGCAGCATCATGGGAGAGAAGTTGGCCACGATGTCGTCCATGTTCCAGGGGGTGGCAGTGTTGAACCAGGGGATCACACCGAAAGTGGGGAGAGGCTGGAAGTGTTCATTGTTCTCGTACACCAGAGGAAGGTCAGTGCGCTTGGCACCAACGCTGAGATTATAGAGGATGACATCGCGGTCGACGTAGTCGAAAGCGGTGCCCTCAGTAGTGGCCTGCTTGGCCTTCTCAATGTTGGCAAGGATCTCGTTGCCACCTTCACCACCACCACCACTGCGGTTGGACATGTTAGCCATCACCTTCTCGGTACCAGCCTGGCTGTCCTCGGGGTGGTCAGCACGACCATCATCGAAGTCAATGATCTGCTTCCACTGCTTGAGAACAGCCTCAGGAGTCAGCTTCACGTCCACAGGGAATCCGTGGCCGCCAGAACGCTGCCAGCGAGTACTGGAGAACCATCCGCTGCCGCACTCGTAAAGACCCTTGCTGCTGGGCTCCGGGCACATGTCAGAGCAGAGAAGGGCGACCATGGGGGCAACATAGTCGGGCTTGAAGGCCTGAACCATCTCCTCAGGCATAATGGTACGGGTCATGTTGGTGCCCGCGTTGGGCGCAATGGTGTTGACCTTGATGTTGTACTTGGCACCTTCAATGGCGAGGGCGCGGGAGAGACCAAGGATACCCAGTTTCTACTAAGATTAGCAAGCCGATACGCTTTCGGTCAACGAGAAGGTCTTACCGCGGCAGCATAGTTGGCCTGTCCAAAGTTGCCGTAGATACCGCTGGTGCTAGCGGTGTTGACAATCCGACCGTACTTTTGCTTGAGCATGTAGGGCCAAGCGGCCTTGGTCACCTTATAGGTACCACGCAGATGAACGTTGATGACAGGGTTCCACAGATCATCGTTCATGTTGGTGAAGGCCTTGTCACGGAGGATACCGGCGTTGTTGACCAAGATATCAATGCGACCGAAAGCATCAATGGCAGTCTTGACGACTGCGTCGCCGTCCTCGCAGGAGGCCTTGTTGCCAACAGCCTTTCCACCCATCTTCTTGATCTCCTGGACGACAGGTTCGGGATCGACCAGATCGTTAACGACCACGGAGGCACCGAGCTTAGCGAACAGAAGACAGTACGAGCGGCCCAGACTGGATAAATCAGCGCATGTTCCTTAAGGATCAAAAAACCAGATAATACACACCCATTACCACCACCAGTAACGAGGGCAACCTTGCCCTTCAGATTAGGCTCTTCTCCAGCGGGAGCGCTAGGAGTCTTCATGCCATTCTCCAGGAGGGTCATGAAGTCGGCGGGGCCGGTAGGATACTCTGGCTGAGAGTAGTCGTAGACATCGTTCCACTTTCTTGCAATGGCTCCGGGAGTCAGGGAAGCGTCGGTCTTCAACAAGGCACCCTTGGCACGCTCCCACCGGAGCTTGGCCATGTGGCCACCGCCGACCTCGAAAATTGAGCCACTCTCAGTGGTATTCGAGGGGTGGACCAGAACAGCGACAAGGGGGACAACCCAGTCGGGCTTGAGGTTCTCCAAAACCTCAGGAGGCATGATTGTAGCGGTCATACGGCTGGCAGCTGCTGCAAGTCAGACACCGGGCTGGAAGGTATATGAGATCCTTCTCTCAGACATACCGATGGGAGCGATAACGTTGGCAATGATGTTGTACTTGGCACCCTCCTTCGCAAGGGTCTCAGTGAAACCGACCTGGCCGAGCTTGGCGGCTTCCGATTTATTAGCTTCAGTGACATACTGTCAAGCGACAAGCAACTCACCAGAGTAGTTCGCCTGGCCGAAGTTGCCGAAGAGACCGGCTGCCGAAGCGGTGTTGATGACACGACCATACTTCTGTTTCCGGAAGTGAGGCCATGCTGCTCTTGCGCACTGAACAGGAAAATCATGGTCAATACCCGGGCAAACAGAACGAACTTGATGGTTGCTATGCTAACCTTGTATGCACCGTAGGTGTGAACTTTGTTGATCAGGTCCCAATCCTGATCTTTCATGTTCTTGAAGCTGACATCACGGAGGATACCAGCGTTGTTGATGAGAACATCGATCCGGCCGAAGTTCTTGATGGCAGTCTCAATGATGGCTTCACCGTTCTCAACGCTGTCGTAGTTGGCTACTGCCTTGCCGCCAGCCGCTCGGATCTCCTCAACTACTACATCAGCAGCCTACGTAGAAATTGAGTTAGTAGCTGTCATACAACCACCGTGTTTGATAGATGGTCAGTCGTACCTTTGATGACGCCCCCTCACCGGAGTGGGAAACACCCAAATCGTTTACAACGACATTGGCACCTCTGGAAGCGAAGAAGGTAGCGTAGGCCTTTCCAAGACCACCACCAGCTCCTGTAACAACGACTGTCTGGTTGTCAAAGCGCAGCTCAGACATATTGGATAGATTTAGAAGGAAAGGAAAGTGAGGGTATCCAGAAGAAGATCAAATCCGGTGGTGCACTCAGCACACAGTTCTGTTCAAGGGAGGAGAGAAGAAAGGGGACAAAGGACTCAAAAGACGATTCGCCGGAAGGATGATAGTGAGGTTTAAAAGGAAGAAATTCTGGGGAGCCGGGGATACCGTAGGAGACCGGAACTGGATCTGGGGGGAACAGGTGAGGTGGATAAAGGTTGGAAGACGGTCGCAACGCTCGGCAAGCTCCAAAGGAACCTCGGTATCTCCCAAGTGAAGCTCGGGGGTTCCGCTGCCAGACGCCAAAGCGGATTTGGCTAGGCAGATGATGCGTTTTCACATGCCGATGCTATAGTCATGAGACGTTTGTTGTCTTTCTATTTTCTACTAGCTGTTGCGTCCTCTTCCACATGCTCAATGCTCGTTTTCTACAACTTGCATCATTCTTCAAGGATCTATTTCCTTGCGATCTTAGTGGCAGAAGAGCTCAGAGGGACTATCTGCTGACTCAGCGGGCATGTGCCGGACGTCATTGTCACGTGTGACACGCGGGGTGGAATCACTGATGGGTTGTATAACTCCTGGTCATCGAAATGATATCGATAGTAAGCCCGGTGGACATCTCAAAGAAAGTCCCGAAAGAGTCTTCTAGATCAATTTGCTCAGATGCGGGAAGTCATTCAGGCACAATCTTATCCCGTGGGGGAAGCTCGACTACCCCAGATTTCGGTCGGCTCTCGTCCGAAAGAACAAATAATATATAGCCATCACAAAACGGAAGTAGTCATAGTAGACAACCACAGCACCTAGATCGCGGAAGATCCTACAAAATGCCTCAAATCATCGACGATAAATCTCAATACTGCATCCCATTCCTGCTGAAGCGGTTGGAAGCCCACCAGGCACGCTATGGGAATGACCCAAACAATACCCCGCCATTCTTCCTAGGGCTCAACGGTGTCCAGGGAGCAGGAAAGACTGTGCTGGTGAGCTACTCGAATCGCTCAGAAGTATTCCCTCGATATGTATACTGAGCCAGAGGTAAACGCCAGGTCTCGACGCTTCAATCGACCCTTCGGGCACCTCCATATTCCCTCCCGGTCGTCACGATCTCCCTGGATGATTTCTACCTCACCCATGGGCAACAACAAACACTAGCCAGATCCTTTCCTTCCAACCCTCTTCTCCAGCATCGCGGCCAACCGGCGACCCACGATCTCCCTCTAGCTGAAAAAGTCTTCGAGTCTCTCCGTGCCGGCCGTCCTACCGCTATCCCGCAATATGACAAGTCCGCTTATTCGGGACAGGGCGATCGTGTACCTGAGAGCCAATGGGAGACAGTCAACGGCGACGGACAAGAGAAAATCAAAGTGGTCATCTTTGAAGGCTGGTGTGTTGGCTTCCGTGCTTTGGATGATGAAGTCCTCAGGGGGAAGTGGGAGGCCGCAGTCCGCCAGAAAGACCAGGGTGATTATAATGGCCGCTTAGGGCATGTGAAGTTTGAAGATGTCAAGGCCGTCAATGACGCCTTGAGGAAGTATGATGTATTGACCGAGTTCGTGCCCTTGCTCTATTGGATCGCTCTAGACGCTGATGCTAACTGTTCGAATGCAGTCGGCTCGACGCATTGGTTCATATGTGAGTTCCCACTACTTGATATCATATTAATGCTCGCTTGCTAAAGATCTCCAAGCGATGCGCAAGACCTCCACTTTGTCTACGACTGGAGACAGGAACAGGAAAGGACGCTGCGTGCAACCAAAGGAACCGGCATGACTGAGGAGCAGGTGTCTCACTTTGTGGATGGCTGTACGTATATCGAATTGGCGGACGAGCATCAGCTAATGTATGACAGATTACCCCTCTTACGAACTCTTCAGTGAGACACTTCGAGAAGGGGCCTTCAAGCCGGCTTCGAACTCAACAGGCACCGACTGGCAAGGCAGACAGCTCCGTCTTATTGTCAGTAAGGAGAGAAGGGTGCAAGAAGTCATTGAGATTTAATTAGTCGGCTATGGGCTCGGAATCTTGGACGTAGATCGGTGTGGGTTTGCTCTCGCAAGGACGACTAAAGGAGTGGATATATACGGCCACAAAAAATATGTACATACATACATACCAGGAGGCATATTACAACTGTCTATAGAACAGATCGTAAACATCTAGATATGGAAATCTAGTCTAAGCTGCCTAGGACTTGTCAATTTGACTAAGAAAGGATGAGTTAGGAGGTTGAAGCTACATGACCCAAAGCCGAGGCTGGAACTCGACTCACAAAGGCCAACGCGACGCATACAGCAAACTAGTACGTAGCCCTTTATGTCCAGGGAAGCCAAAGCAGGGGGAAGCTATGCGGAAAACTGTCTATGACCTATTTTACGATAGATTATGACTAGAGGTTATGGGTTGCTTGAACTTCTCCATTTTTGTACCCGAGAATCATAGACCATTATACGCTAATCGAGAACAACTCATGTGAACCAAACAACCCAGGATAGAGAACCGCCGTGTAGAAGATTGCAACTAGTTCATCTGTCTGATGAGAGCATTGATGTTCTCCTCACGGTTACCAAGGTCACCACCCTCGATGAAGTGCTTGAACTTGCGGGTGCGGAAGCCACCAGTGGGGTTGGAGAGCTTGAAGGGCCAGAGGAAGTTGTTGGCCTGCTTGAAGTTGGGGCCAACGGTGTAGATCTCGTGGATCAGATCTTCCATGCAGACAATGCCGTACTTGCCAAGGGCCTCCTCAATGACCTGGTTGTCGGTGAGAGGGACACGCTGCTTGTTGACCTTTCCGTAACCACGCTTGTAGATGAGCTCACGGACGCTCTTGAGGTTGGGGTAACCATAAGCGATGTAGGGGTTGATGATGGTCAACATCTCCTGGGTGGCCTTGGTGAGGCGGATGAAGGTACCGTTGTTGATCTGGACCAGACGGAGAAGCTGCAGGATCTTGCGGGGCTGAGGAGCAATCTTGTTGATACTGCAGATTTATTAACACCACGGTACGGTGACTAAAGGCTCGAGTGAAACATACCCCTTGATACGGACAACGAAGACCAGCTTGGGCTCGTCAGGGACGTAGAAGTTACCCTGCTGGCGAGCAACGCGAGCAAGGCGGATCTTCTCACGCTCAGCATCGCGGTACTCCTTGACGTAGGACTCAGCACGCTTGAAGATAGCTTCACGCTTCTTCTTGTTGGCCTGCAATTTGCAAAGTTAGCGGCATGCCTTTTCAAACAGATCACAAAACGAATCAATGGAAAAGGTATTGTCAGCCCCGAAAGATGGTTAACGAAAGCGACAGCATCGACCCGAAGGTCTAGTCGCGTAAGGTGGAAATTTTATCATCACACAATTGAATAAGTTGAGAAACAGGTAAAGAAAATTGCAAAAAACTAACCTCCTTCTTCTTCTGAGCCTCCTCGCGGGCAACAGCGCGAGCCTGCTCCTGGCTCTTGCGCTTCTTCAGGAGGGTCTCAGGGACGAGGACCTGGTCCTGGGTGGGGACGGTGCTGGTTTGAGGTCAGTATAGTCTGTCCATGCAATCAAACGAAAGCAAGTATTCGCCGAGTGTAAGAATTGCAGCTATAGTGCCACATTCTCAACTGAAGGCAGATATAAAGAAAACTCGACGACATCCATTTGATCGGTGAGGCAAGGCGTTGCACTGAAACACTAAACTGAATTCTGGTACTAGTCACAGCATTCTCAGCCTGACGTTCACAATTCAGCAAGGATGGCAAGCTTTTATCCTCAGCCGACAAAACCCCGAGCATTGCGCTCAGGAAGTTATGTTGTCGCTGTTCGCACCGATTCCTGACAATCTGTTCTCAAGACTGTCGGAGGGCACGATAGCTCACAACAATACTTTTCAAGGAGAAGGCCAACGACGCTTTCAACCTCAATACCCCAGACCATTCATCATCCAGGCTCCATGCTTCCAGTGTTCAGACGGGAGGAGAGCTCGGGTTGGAGAGAAGGTCACGGGAAAAATCGAGCTGGTGCCCAGCGACCAAATTGATCGCAGCATCTCCAGCGAGAAGGACGACTATGAACTGAAACCTTACGGGCTCGCAAAGCGAAACAACCGATAGGGATTCAATCAAAGGGTATCATACGTAGCAGTCGAGGCCATTGCGACGGTCCGTTGATTCGCGAGTTGGGCGGTTGGCGAAGGTTGTCGGGATGAGAAAAAGTTCGAGGAAGAAATCAATTGAAGAGAAAATCGGTTGTGTGGGTGGATTAGTCGCACTAGCCTATGAGCGGTTAGCGCAATGGGGCTACTCGTCCTTTCCCTTTTAGTCGAACATTACCCTTATCTATCAGGGGAAGGATATCACATGACCTATCAGATAACGACCTGGCGATGACAACATCTCACGGTTGATCTACATGTATCTACCCCGCGGCATGCCCTATTCCCCTGGAGACATCAATACCGTTAATCATTATGTCGACTCGTCGAGGTGTCGGACTCGGAGCGTTTGCGAATCGCACGCAAACAAGTCAATCCTATGCCAACCATGGCGCCAACCTTCGCTCTGCGCACCTTGCCTCCCTCCAAACACAACTTTCCGTATTCCAGTCGTTGCTTCACACATTTGCACTAGAACATAGTTCAACGATCAAGTCGAATCCGACATTCCGAGCAGAATTTGCTCGTATGTGCAATGCTATCGGGGTTGATCCTCTTGCAGCCAGTAATGTCAAAGGGAAAAATGGCCGGAGAGGGGAAAGTGGTAGCTTCTGGACGCAGATTATGGGCGGTGACATGAATGACTTCTACTTTGAGGTTGCGGTCCGAGTTGTAGAGCTCTGTCGATCCACGAGAAGTGAGAATGGAGGCTTGCTAGGTGTTGAAGAGTGTCGGAAACAGGTTGGCAAAGGGAAAGCCATCGGGAGCGGCTTGGAGGTCACTGAGTACGGCTTCAACCTCTTTCTCATTCATTCGGACTGTGTTAACTGTCTTTTGATGTACAGTGACGACGTTCTCCGCGCTGTGAAATCACTTGGACCCCTTGGGTCTGGGTTCTCCATTGTGCAAGTAGGGAGCAAGCAATACATCCGCTCTATCCCCAAGGAGTTGAACACAGATCAGGCCACAGTCCTCGAGGCAATCCAGATACTGGGCTATGTCAGCGTATCCATGTTGCAGTTGAACTTGAACTGGGAAAAGGCCCGCGCACAAACTGTCATTGATGACCTTGTAGCAGACGGCCTAGTTTGGGTGGACGCGCAGGGCGAAGAGAATGAATACTGGTCGCCCCAGAATCTCCTTGATGACAGCGGATGATATTTCTTATACTCGAAGATGGGTCATTTATCGCTAAACAAAGGCTTCCTTTTGGCCAATGACGACCAAGCAACGTCGCCCTGGATAGCATGCTCACATCGTTTCTGCTCCGAGGCGGCATGTCAGGGAGCCGGCTACCGTCCCTTCAAGCCACGAGGTTGCTCGAGGCAATAGGCGGATCGATTCGGGATGGGAGAAACCTATATCGGCGACCACTGTTGAAGCATGCCCGCCGCTTCATGCTCGCGACTCGGTCCCGCATCGCACACGTCTAAACTATTCATGTACCTGAATAGCTTCGATAGCGGTTACACACACATAGATATATATGTACAAGGGCTCGCTACTCATGATACGAAGAGAGAAGCTGTTGCTTTCGCGGCTCCTCATCTCCAAATGTTATACAGAGTTGGTCTGCGGGTAGACACCAAGTCCATCCCATAGAATATATTGCTCACTCTCAGGCAACCAAAGCAATTCATACTACTCAAAATATAACTAGATCATCGCTACTATGGAACAACATCATTTAACCAAGATTTCCTCTCTGTTCTCATTCAGTCTAGACATCGAACCATCTGTAGAATATGAATATAGGGCACACATAAGATGATAACATGGAGAGAAAGATCGACAGCGAAGTGTCATCGACCAAGGGCCGTAATGGAACGGAAGCAGACAGAAATTCATACGCATTTGTATTCCCAGAAGCAGCATTAGACCATGAGAGAAAGAAACAGGATGCCATTATAAACAATCTTTTTTAAGCCTTGATAGCTCCGCCCAATGCACCACCGCCGAATTGCTGTCCGCCGGGCCGACGGCCTTGCTGGCCACCGGGGAATCTGGCGCCACCGCGGGCATGACCTCCGCGGCCGGAACCACGGCCACCACGGGCGCCGGCGCCCTGATCGCGCTGGAAGGCGTTGGCCATACCCTGGGTGCGCTGCTCGAGAGTCTTCTCGTTGGCTTCCAGGAGGTTCATGGACTTGTCGGCCAGAGTGACGATCTGGGACTGCAGGCGCGACAGCTCGACGCCCTTGCGGAAAACGATGGCGTTGTTGACCTGATCCAAAGCAGCACCCAGCTCTTCGTGCGAAATCATACGGCTGATGATGGCGGTGATCTTCTTCTCAGAAAGCTCGAACATGTTGGAGAGGGTGGCGATGGAGAGGCTGTCGTAGAAAGGAGCGTAGGTGAAGAGGTAGGTTCTCAGGCCCTCCTCCTGGACCTGCTGGGAAAGCATCTCCTTGATCTTGTCGGGCTGGGGCATCAGATCCCAGATCTTGATCGAGTTGAGCATCTCGGCAGCCTTCTTCCAGTCACCCGCAGCAAGGAACTTGGCGCTCATAATCACGCCGTCACGAGTATTCTCCGCGGGACCAGTGAAGACCTGGCGCTCATTGTAATCCAACATACGGCGGAAGGTCTTGGAAATGACACGGCGCTTCATCTCGGGAGAAGAGGAAGTCTGGGCCATCAGGGGAACTTCCAGGAACATGCTGGAGGTGAGGTAGATGCACTCGAGCAGCTCCAGGTTGATGTGCATGTGGAACGGCAGCTGGCGCTGACGCTCAAGACGCTCCTGCTCCGGGGATACCGTGGAGTAGCGCTGCATAATGATACCCTGGGCCAAGAGCTCCTTTTGACGTCCACTGCCGCAGACTTCGGAAAGGGTGTTCTGAGCTTCGTAGATGAGACCGGAGCGGAAGGCGCAAAGACCAATTTGCACCAGCGTCCGGTTGAAGAGAATCTGAGTGCTGACGTCAAAGTTGGAAATGTTCTCGGTGAGATGAGACATGAGCATCAGATCACGAGAGCGGTAGTACTGGTCGTGCAGGGCAAGGAAGTAAATCTGGCACAGCATCGCGCGGGCTCTGATGATACCATCGCTGTACTTGAACAGATAGTTGCAGAGGGACAAAACGAGGTTCTCGACGTTGCCACTGCTGGCCCGAGGGGTAATGCCAGAATCCAGCTCAGAGGGAAGAGCCTTCCATGTGGCATCTTCAAGAATTGTGATAACCAGGGAGGGCTTGAAGTAGACGTGCTCCAACCGTCTCATGACCACCCGGTTGACACTGTCCTGTCTGGGATCGCTCTTTTCGGCTTCGTTCAAACCTTCGACGTAGGCTTGGGCGCGAACAAGATCGGTGTACAGCAGCTTCTCATCACTCAGACGCTCAATGTACTCGGCGGTGTGGGGGTCGATGTGTTGCAGGGATCTAGTAAGCTCGTCATCGAGTCTCTCGGCGAGAGACACGATGCTGCCGGGAATGTAGAGGGTCTCGCCGGGGACGACGGTGGGTTGCTTCTCGTCATCTTCCCATTCTTCGGCACCTTCGGTCACAACGTGGTCACGGTTGTTCTCCAAAACCGACAGTAGGGACGATAAGTCCTGCTCAGCGGACTTCCAGTGATCGACGGCCATATAATTGGCGCTGGACGTGGATGTGAGGTCGAAACGCGTGGAAATGAGAGTAAGGTAAACACGGATGCGCTGATAAGGAGTCTGAGCCACCTCCAGAAGCTTCTCCATCGTCCGAATCTGCTCCGTGCGGTCTGTGTTCTTCTTACCTCGCGACTCGACGATCACACGGAGGTGCTTCAGGATGCTCTCAGGAGTGTACTGAAGTGTCTTGCCACCGCGGCCAACAGTTGCGAAGCCATCATCATCGACAGCGACGGCGGGAGCCTCAAGACGCTCCAACTTGGTGATGCGGGGAGCAGCAATAACGGGGGCGGCCTCCTCATCGTCGCTTTCCATGAAGTCCTCCTTGTCCTTCCGGTACTTGTTGATCAGGTTGGCGTAGTCCTTGTTATTCTTCTTGATACGCTGCTTGGCAGCGTTGAAGCCCTTGGCCTGGCTGGCGTTCAGCTTCTTATCTCCCGACTTCTGCTTGGCAACAGTTTCGTTCACGAAATCCTCAAGGTCGGCAACGGTCTTGATGTAAATCTTGGGAGTCGGACCAGCTTGCGCGATCTTCGCAACCTGTCGGTTCAGCTTGTCGAACTCTGTTATCCCATGTCAGCCCATCTCACACATTCAACCCACCTCCCTATTCCGGTCTCCACATAGATAGCGGCATGTGAAAGGAACAAAACGCACCTGTCGAGATAACAGCCCAATCGTTGATCTTCTTGGCGTTCTCAATCAGCTTGATCGTGTTCTCAAGCTCATCCAATCTCTTATCCTTGGCACTCTTGACAACCGTGACTTTCTCCTCCTCTTCCTCCTCCTCGCTGTCGGAAGCAACATCCTTCAAAAACTTGTTTGCACCCTTTTCCTCGTCGGACTCCTCCTCCTCCGAGGTCTCCTCTTCCTCCTCGCTGGATTCTTCCTCCTCGGCCTTTTCTTCCTCCTCGCGATCGCTGTAAAGCTCCTCCTCGTCAGACGAGCTGGACTCGCTGTCGCTACCACCGCCGTAAAAGAAACGTGACATGTTTGCGGTTCGAGGGGTTATCGGACGAAAAAGGTGTTTTCGCGGACTTGTTCACAAACTGGCCGTATCTGCTGATGCCGGACAGGACGCGCGGGGTGATAAGGTGGTGGACAGAGTTAACGGCCCTCTTGATCTGTTTGCCCGTGCCTGATGGCAAATTCAGTTGTGAAGTGAGGGTTCCTAGCCGCAGCGAGTTTGGCCGCGCGAGCCACACACGAAATTTAAGCGAGTCGGCACCTAACCGTATATGGCAGTTTGTCCTGTTTGCATTGCCTTTCCCCGCGAGTCTTTTGTATCTGAATAGCCTCACAACCAATGATACCTCCAGTTCTTTCACGCCCCCGTGAGTATATAACAACGTTTTGGAGGCTTCCGAAATGCAGACGGGTCGTCCTCATATTAGTCTCATCGAAAGCAATACAACAACCGATTGCACAACTATCCCGAACGCCATCCATATTTTTACTGGGTTCAACTGTTCAACCACTACAGTCATGCATGGCCTACGCTAACACTTTCTGGACTCTGACTCATTTAGACACATCAGCCACTAGTCTGGATCGAGAACTATGTGCGTTCTCTGATATCCATCGAACTTTGACTTTCTAAATTTAGGTATCCAAGCTATAGCAATGGCTCTGTTGAGCAGCGATGGAAGGAAGCAAGAGGCAAACAACATCAAATGACAACAGGGGAATAGAAATTGGCATCGCCACAAAGATAGCAATGAGAAATGGAAAAGAAAAATTTTAACACGATGGTGAGGTGAGAGAAAGAAACAATCTTCGCAAAACCTCCTATCATGAGACTCATGACCAACGTCTGGGCATGGTACACGATGATCTCGTTGGGAAAGATTGCTCAGGGAAGGTAAAAGCAACCGGATCAGGAAGCTCGACTATAATAAAACAGGCCGCCTGCACCGTGGAAAGCCACTCTCTAAACTGGCCGGATATACTAGACTCAGAGGCTATCTCGTCACGGCGAAGGGCCTTGATGTTACAATATAACTTCGTCCCCTCCCAGTTGGACCACTTTTCGAACTGAAGATGTAGCCTTGAACAAGTAGTCTCAGGAGATGCACTTGGGGCAGTGGCTGGCGTTGACATGATGAAGCTGGCTGACGTCGTAAGCCCGCCGCAGACCGAAGGGCACGGGAAGGAAAGATCGAGCACGGTACGTTCCAAACGATGTAGGAAGATATCTTGGAGCAGCTCTGCGCTTCAAATTGTAAAACGCACCTGGAGCACACTCTCGCTCGAACGAAGCAGAGTTGACGGTAGAAAGTAGCAAGCTCATGTTCCAGATAACAACCAGTACTGACTGACTGGTTAGATCTTCTGTGTGATCAGTGCCACTGGCTCTGGTTCATATAGCTGTCGCCGCCAAGGACACCGTCTTCGAGAGTCCGAATGAAGTCTCGGTTACGTTGACCGGCCCCTGCACGGCTTCCCCGGCGTCGCTGAGCATTGTTGTCGACATATCCGTCAGGAGGTGGGGGGTAATATGCCGGGCTGGGCTGGAGTCGAATGGGGGCATTCGGGTCCAGATGACTGG